TCACTTTAAAACAACTTTACAGTTTGTTAAGACAGTTATTTAGAGTTCTGATTTTTTACATTATGATGGTAGAAATGCTGACTGGTATTTGTTTCCTTTTTTTTTCCTCCTCACTTTGTGTCAAACTGCATTTTGATAGTGATGAAATGCAACACTTTAAAGTTACAAGTTATGTAAAGTTATGCTGAATGTGCTGCATACATATGCAAAAAGTAACAAATGTTATTAATTTAAAATTAACTGATTAAATAAATGAGATATCTTCTGTAGTTAGTGAGTTGTGCGGAGGTTTCTGGTCATTGTCCTTTCTTATACCAAACCAAATAGGTTTCAGGCTGTCGTTTTGTGACCACTCTGTGTTGATGCTGCCGTCCTGAAAAAAAGACCAACAACCCACAGAAAAAAACCAGTTGTGCTTGCTCCAATTCTCCTCATTCTGGCTGAAGAAAATACTCAGGTTAAACATAACCAGGTAGTGCTGGGTTATGCAAAATTGAAGTCATGATCAGTGATGGCATCATCCTTTTACAGCCTGGTTCCCACTTCTTTGCAAGGAAAGAATAAAACTCCTAATTTGTCCATTAGTATTAATTGTAAATTAATCAAAAGAGCAATTGCTGGTAAATAGAATAAAATAAATATTCAATGTGCCTGCAAAATAAAGCAATTACCATTGCAAGTGGATTTTACCAGTTCAGCCCAAACAGATTCTACATACTTCGTGGTAATTCTTCTAGATATATGATCCAGTTCTCCTTAAAACTGTTGGATATTTTCTTAACAATAGATAACACATTTAAAACTCGACATATGCTGTCAATTTCAGATGTAACTAGAACTACATGTTACCTTTACCTGCAGATTATATTTGCTCACCCGAATTAGGCTCTTGCACTATAAAAGATTGTCCTTCTGTTCTAAGAGCTTTCTCCAACATCCTCAGTGTTTTCCTTACCGTTTGTGTCTTCCTCTCTCTGCTTGGAATGTCTTTTAAAAATGCCACCTTTTATTCAACTTCTAAATTTAGCTGCTTATGTTAAGACATGTCTACTCTGCTGGCAGAGGCCTCTAAATGTGGAGTAGTAGCCAAACCAGATGCCCTCAAATTTATTTCTGAGGTGCCTCCCCCGAAATGAAAAGTTACTGTGCAGACCTTAGAAGCTGAAGTGCAATACCGTGGAATTAGGGCTGTGTGGTTTGTGGAACAAAATGTGGTAGGATCAAAGAGCAGGGTGCTTTTCTCCTCTAGACTTACAAAGCTTTGTCTCCACTAGCTCAAGGACTCACGCTTCATTTTGCAGAGCAGATATCCTGTCTAGCTGTTGTGGGGTTTATCTGACTGATGTATACTGTTCTCGGGTAGTTTCCACCCAACAGTGTTTTCCTGTTCTCACAGCCTTTATTGTGACAGCACTTGAGAGGGTAGGCAGCAGCAGAGGTAAGACTGTTCGGTAGTTTGTCTCAACAGGACCAGAAAAGAGTTGCAGAAACTTTGAGCTTCACTCCTGCTCCCTCCTGTTGCGACATTCTCAGCCATCAGTTTGGGTAATATCAGACCCTTTTGAAGTCTGAAGGGAAAACTTCCATCTCCCCAAATCCCTTTCAGAGACTCCTATAAAACACTCTGGGCTCTCATATCAGATAAATTATAAGATAAAAAATAAATAAATTACACTTGTCCCAGAGAAAGAACCTGCAATTGTTCCAGCCTGATGCAAGC